ACTTGATCTACTTTAAAAATATCCTGTTTAATCATTGACTTAATCACTTGATACACCAGTATATATGTATATGACACTTGAGATAATAAAAGCCTTCAAATATATTAAAGATTGCAGTGTGAAGTGGTTAAAGGAAGACAGTCTTACTATGTCTTCAAAATCTCATTTTGTCCAATCTTGTCTCACTGAATTTTTGTGACTCACCGTCAGGACTACTGGTTCAATTCATTTACTTGTACATATGGTCAATTTGTATATGACCCATTCGTATCATTTACAACATCTTGTATATAGTCAATCTGATCTGTTATATACTGTTCTAATTTAATATATCTGTATGAAATATGTTATAAACAATAGTTATTGAAAGACTTTGTTGGTTATATCAGAATGTCCTGTCATTCTCTTGCTCTCTTTAAACTGTGAATATGGAGTTCTTGGTTGCTTATATTCGATCTTATCCTGCAGAGTTCAGATGGGTTCGGCCATTTTTTCAGAAAAGTTTTTCAAAATGTTTGCCTTTTAACGCTGTCTTCATAATGCTTCCTTAAAATCATCCTTGGAAAATTTGCATCAACGGTTCTGGGAACCAATTCTTTAAAAACACCTAATTTCTATCATAAGTTATGGTCATTCATGGTTAAGGCTTCTGTTATTTTATCTAAATTATGTTGTTTGGCCTTGTATAAAAATTCTATCCACTTTTCATCACCAGACGATGTAACATGGGAATTTCTGAAATAAAATATTTACATCTTTCTTGATTTAATAAAACAAAATATTCATTGTTAAAATATATACATCAAAGAAGGAAAAACAACTATATTTTACAAGGATAGCAACAGTTAAGGATGCTTTCTACCAGCTGGTCCTGGCCAAACCTCTTCGCATTGATCTTGCCCAGATTATCCGTACCCATTTAAAGCTGGGTCGACTGGAATTGTGAGTGAAGATGACTTATTCAAGGTCATCGGACTATCACACGCCGATCGAGAATTAAACCCACACCTGCCATGCGCTTGATGTAACCAAGCAAATGACGTTATGTAAAGAAAAAACGCCCTAACCGACTGAGCCTCACATTTGTAGAGCAACATAGAAATATTTCTTGATTTAAATAAATGACTTTTTTAATGACACTATTAATGAATGAGATTGACAATGCTATCCCTGGACACACAGCAACTTTAAATTGATCATTGAGTCATGAATTGACAGTAATAAATATACTTACTTTAAAATTTGTAAAATACTAGAAATACTTGAATCTAAAAGATCCACCTGAAAACAATAAAAAATATTTTAAAAGAAAATGTCCCACTAATCTGCTCATACTTGAATTGATAAAGAAGATAATGGGACTTACAGAAAATATTGAAAGCTTGAGTCAAGTGGCATGCTCTCTTTGAAAGTGAAATCGAAATTACGGTTTCCGCATCAGTCTCAAGATAATATTACAACATCAATGTTTGCACCTAGTTTGAAATTGAAAATAAGACATACCTTGGTTTGAACAGAAGGTATAACAATAGGAGGGTATAACACAATAGTCATTTCATCAACAATACAACTTAATTTTTTAACATAATCACAAATATCATCTAACTGACTGATATTATTTTCACAATTACAATTTCCGTTAGTTTTAATCACATCACGAGTCTTTTTTAATGTTGATTTAACAGTCTTGATTAGTCCCATTCCAGTAGATATCACTGTTTTATCAGACTCAGACCACTCATCTGCATTATTCCTAGGTTCGTTAGCATCTAATATATCATTTAAATAATCATCTTCACCTCCTAATTCCAGCGCCTGAAATATGAAAATTGATTGTATATCAATGAAATGTAATTGAAGGGAGATGGAGAAGCCATCTAAAATCAGTTTTTCGCACCTGTAAGCTAAAGACCAACATTGTATGCACAGTTATTGCAGGGTCGTTTACCTGAATTGTGAAAATTTATAGGATTATTACAGAAATGAAAATGAAATGAATAGAGTTTTAAGGAGATTTATAGAGAAATTAGCTTGTATGCTGCAGTATGTAATATCCACATCCATTGCCTTTAAGAGTAACTAAAATCAGTTTTCCGTAAGCATCTAGTCTTAGGAAGACAAGCAACATTTTAACATGTAAGCAAGATGAGTTACTATCATCTCCTTATATAGCTATGAAGAAGTTTTTTGTTATTCAGTTATCTTTTGTATTCTGAAGTGACTGCCACAGTTAAATTCATTAAGGAAAAATCTTGAAAACAAACTAAGTTTTAGATAGATTATGCCCCTGTTAATATTATGAAAAGAAAATCTATCATACCTGTTCTATTTCTTGAAGAGCATCTTTAACTAAATCTGTAGTTTGTTCTATTATAAATAGAGCTGCTTCACGATTATCTGAAATGGAACACATAAGATTTGTAAAGTACTTGTTTCAATAGCTCAGCCTACTTGGTGGGACTATCAGTCAACCTTGTGTAATAAAATATTATCAAGATGTTACCAAACATAAATGCCCTTGGACCATGTATTATAATGGTTTTGATGGCTCCCCTTCTTCTAATTTGACATTTCCATTGCCTGAAAATCTTTCAAGCATTATAATAATAATAGTAACATTCGAAATTTTCATGCAATAGTTTATTTCTTGGGGATTAAGTGGTAAAAGATATTAGGTTCTTATTACCAACAACTGAAGAACTGCAGTCATTTCGATACAAATTCTAATTGAAATCTATATTCATTCTCTAACCAATGAAAGACAAACTACAATACCTTTAGGAAGGTCATCAAAATCATCTGTTTCTTCCCAAACCAGACCAGTAGATTGTAATCTTTCAGATCTGAAATTTTATTCAAAATAACAGTTAGACACTACATCTCTTTGACTTACCTTTATGATAAAAATAAAAAAAATCGACAACACTCAAGGCTTTTAAAGATGTCACTTTCAATTCAAGCATTTTTGACATTGAGTAGTATCAGATAATTAAACAGCTAAATATAATTAAGAACGGATACATACCCAGAATATTTAGAAACTATTTCTACTAAATTTTGAACTCTTTCTACAACTTGTATTACTTTAGTGTGTAATTCTTTTCTCAATGTTAAACCTGTACGATAAATTGTTGACATGAATTCATAAATACTAAATGTATATGATAATGAAGACTCAAAATAACATCAACAAAATGTCACTTCAATATAGAGTTATTGATACCTTAGATGTTAACGAACAAAAGTTCCTTTTACTTTCAAGAATAAACATACACATAATTTGATCAAAGATAGAATAAAATCCCCCTGATGTTCCCCAATTATTGGATTTAATGACCAGTTTAGAAATTTAAATCAATCAGTTGTCAAATCCACGTTATTCTAGGAGAAGGAATAATTATAATCAAACCTTGTGATTTAGGTAGAGAATAATAATATGACACCATAGCTAAAATAGACTTCTCTATACCACTAACTAGAGTTTCACACTCTGTTTGAGTTGGTGCTGGAGGCTTGGAGTAAACCATAGATAGCTTAGTTGCTTCCATAGAGATTACTTTAAACACCACAGCTGAAAATATGACTTTCAAAATCAAGCAACAGAAACTGACAAAGAGTAGCAATATTGTATATTTAGCTATATTGCTTTCAAAAACAGAACAATGTTATATGTCTGCCACCATTTAAATTGACTTCAAATTTTACTGGGAACTTTTCAACTTTTCAACAGACGATTCCAGAGATAGTTTTCATACATACCCAGATTTTTCCAATATTCTGATTGGTTGAATTCAGATTTCTCATCTCTTCTTGACTCTCCATCTATAAACAAGGAACAAAATATACAATCATGATAGGCTTAAACAAAAAAATGACTCCTCAAGAAGCCTAGACAAGAAACCAGTGACAGAGTGGGTAAGAATCAAAAGACTGAAACTGACACACTTCACTGAGTGTTGTTGACTGTGTGTGGACTATCAGAATCTATGATTATGGTCTGTGACTGTGGATCATGCAGTCTGCATATTTTGTCAATGGCCATGCCATAAAACATGGTCATAGAATCTTGACAATAAGTCACATTGCTACACATTGTTAAGAAATACAAAGATAGAGTTTTACCCTTCAACTGATTGAGCACAAGACTTAAATTATCTCGAAAATTGTGCAATACATTCACATGGTCTCCAGAGGCTGCCATTTTTGTTTACAAATAGACAGGGAGTGTTTCTTGCAATCCAGTCCAGTATGATTTTGATTATCCAGACCTTTCTTTAGTAACGGCCTATTCAAAATAGTTGGCGCTCTGGACAATCTCAACAACTAGAGATTTTTGTTAAAAGAAACAGTGCCATATTAAAATTGTGACTTACCTTAAAAGTAAAACATGATACGAAATGACTATTTGTTTTCCTTATGTTTTGATCATTCAACACAAAATAGTAATATATTAAATCAAAATACATACGAACCTGGACAGATATTGCAATTTATTTGTTGTCAACCTAAGATATCCATCATTTTTAAATTCGTTTCGGGAATACTTTTATGAATCGTACAAATTCTAAAAAGTCAAGGCCGAACTTGTTCATTTTCTTGAAATTTCACAACGCAACACCAAAACAAATATTTTCACTTCTGCTATAACCTTTATTACAGAATGGATGACGAATTTGAAGCAATCAAGGCCCGTAGAATGGCTGAATTACAACAACAATATGGGGTATGAAAGTATATCTGACTCAATGATTGAAATAGAATTCTCCAATTTTGTTTTCTACCCGTTTCTTTTTTTTAATGATTCCAATCATTCTTTGACTTTGCACATTGGAATCTTATGAAATGTGATTGTGATAATTATTCTATAACCACAACTCATTCCATCTTATCTTAGTTAATGTAGGCTGGACTTGAATAGAATATTCCGAATTTTCGTTTTCAAATTGGGTTATCCAAGCAACAAGTAACTATTGTATTAAAGGATTACAACTCACTATTCAACTTACAGAAGGCACTGGCATAGGGTTTAGGATGGTTGAAAATAAACCATTTACTGTACTATTGACAAGAAACTAATCACTATTCAATAGAAGGCACTGACACAGGTTAGGGTTCAAGTTATTGTATATAGGCTTATGCTTGCATATTATTTGATTGTGTTTCAGGGAGGTGCAGGAGCTGGTGGACCATCTGCTGAAGAACAACAAGAAAGAGCACGCCAACAAACAGACATGAAGAATAGTATATTAAGTCAGGTGCTAGATCAGTCAGCTAGAACTAGGTGTAAGTAGATTAGACTGGAAATAGTGTGCCAGTCATCTATTTGAGACCTCTCAAATTTTAGTGAACTCTTCCGCACATGCATACTTTCAATCATAATGATACTTAATAAATGTATGATTTTAAGAACTCAAATATGATATTGGGTGTGGTTTTTGTTGCCTGTCAATAGCTAAAAACTGCTAAAACCAATAAAATGCCAATTTGTGACTAGGAAAGGATCATACAAGCATGCACTGAATATGACCATCAATCACAAAACCTGGTTTATTTGATTAATAGAGTGTAGTTCATGCATCTAGCATTCTACATTTAATGGGATGCCACAGCATGTCCCAAAATGGCATTAGTGTGTTCATATTTTGAGTAGAACTCATACGAGAAGCTTCAAAATTCTTTCTCATTTTGTACCAGTACTGGCACAAATAAATTTTCATCTTTTGTTTATAAAATCTATTTATTTTTCTGATACCTTCATAGAAAACAGTCTGATTTTCAGAAATTCAACACCAAATTCAGTTTTTGAAATAAATATTCAAGATTTCATCATTGCACAATATAGTTGAAAATTCCATTTCAGTAAATACTATTGCTGTAGCTAAACCAGAAAAAGCTAAAATGGTAGAAAGTATGTTAGTTCAAATGGCTAGAACAGGCCAAATACAAAATAAGGTATGCTGGTTATTTCTTATTCCTTTCCTTCACTGTCAAATAAATACTTCTTACTCTGGTATTAAATATTGCTTTTTGAGCATCATATCATAATATCAGTATAGGAATTTATAAGTACTAGGATATGTTATTAATATGTGATAAGCTTATTTTGATTTTCATGTACCGTATATGCTTAAATTTTCTGTCTTAACAATATTAACAGTAATTATTTATTTAAGAACTGTGAATATCTAAAGCAGTATTTCAATTCTATTTGATATGGTCAGTGTATTTGATTTTAATTTTCTAATCTACTTATTCTATATTTTACAGCTATCTGAAGATCAGTTAATAGGTTTATTATCTAGAGTTAGTGAACAGACACAGAAAAAAACGACAGTCAAGGTTTGTACAAATTTTGTTATTTCATTTGAACATTTGAGATTCATGAGTTTCCAAAAATATCAATCCAGATGAGATCATCATGTTTGAAACATGTTTTTTTCATGATATTCAATACTGGGATGTTTTATTATAGTTCTATTTGAATATTTCTGCATTCTTTTTGTATTTTGATAGTTTGACAGAAGAAGAACGTGTCTAGATTCGGACTCTGATTAGCTGTGAAAATAAACTTTAATTTGGTGTTAAATTATGAATAATGATTGATATCAGACGTGGTTGAAACTATCTAAGATTGGAGAGGGTTATTTATCATCTTATAAACCTGTAATATGGGTTTATTTCACGGCTTATGAACCTATATCATTGTTAACCCGGGTGATTATATTTCTATGCATGTGCCATAATCCTGGTCAATTTGAAGTTTGCTGATATTTTTATGAATATGTGGATGGATGAAAACTCTCTGAAAAGACTTTTATTTACTTGTTCATTTTTTTCTGTAGATGTGTGAAAATATCTTTCTTTCCCAAAAAAGGTACTATAATTTCAAGGGGTTTTGAAGGGATTTTTCCAATTTTATAAGTACCTTTCCTCCCTGCTAAATATTCTTAATATGAAAACATAAAATATGTTTAAGAGAATACTGGACAAAAGTTGTTCATTACATGATACAGTTACTTAATCAGAATTCAATAAATTGAATAGTATCATTGTAGGTGAGAATAGGTATTGTTAGTCAATATTTCAACAGTATGAGTTCTCTCCCTTCAATTTTATTGCTATTTTATTTACCTCAAAGGTGTAAAAAACATGATTCTTCCGGGCATTAATTTTCAAATTTTCTTTTGATTAAGATTGCCGTTTCACATATTTCCATATATCAATACTTATAATGTTCTTCTTTAATGCAAGTGATATCCCAATACCAGCTTTGTTATAACATTGTATCATCTTGTTTATAAAGGTTTTTATAATTTACTTATACTCTTTATTTTCCTTGCAAGGTCAATGTATGCAGATTTTAGAACTTTGCACTCCAAATTGCATTCATTTTCATTCTTTACATTCATGTGAATTGACAGATAGGCATAGACAATGCATCTAATTATTTTTATACCACTGTGAAGGAGATTGAACTTAAGAAGATTAGGCAAGCTATGAAGACCTGGTTTCCTGGTAAAATTTCCCCTCATGGCTCTTTAATATATACCCTCCGAAAGTCTGGCACTAATATTTTTAAAAAATAAGAAAGTAACAAATATATTTATTAGTAACAAGCATTGACAATATATATTCAAGTTATATAAAGTATATTTTATTCTAAAGACAGGCAAAGTATAAAAACAGATAACAAAGTTATAATAATAGTAATAATAATCTAGATGTATTCTAAAACATAGTCTGAAATATATAATGCTCTTCAGCACATACTACATAATACATACAGATAGAGGTCTTAAGTCTGCAATATTATTCAGATCCATCTTTGTTTGACAGCAAGCAAAATCAGACATCAAATAACATTTTATTCTGTTTCCAACAAAAGTTTTTTTTTATTTGTCTTTCTTTTTTATATAAAATATTTCGTAAAAGATATGAAAAAAAATATGGTAGAGAATTGGCACAGAAAACAGCATAATATTTAATTTGGGTAGTTAATAATGGAAGTACATATATAATGCTAAGTACTTCATCTAAAGGCAGTTTGGAGATGCAAAGTATTTAAAACAACAAAATAATTAGGTTCACATCCATATTGTAGTTTTGTCGGTTGTAAAAAGCTTTCATATCTTTTGAGTATATCAAATAGTCAACATCAGAATCCTTGAATTTTAAATATTTTTTTTTAAAATTAATTCTTGTGAATTTCAACATTCAAAATTACATGAAAAAACAAAACTGTATAATGCTGGATCATTCAGACCCATAGCTATGTCTTTGGTCAATTATTTCGTAATTTTCCCAATCTTAGTATTCAGATTAAAAACCTTAATTTTGAAAAATAAATCTGAGAGGTACACTATAAAACTTCTAATTTTTTACATTAACAACTGTAGTAGCAGTGACATCTTCAAGTTGTTTTGAGTTGAACATAACAAGGATTTCTTTTTCACCAAGTTTCTTTGGTGTCAATTCAAACTTGGTAACAAAGGTCTGTTTAGGTTTAACATTCCTGAAAATAGAGGGAAAAACATGAATAAAATCTTACTGTATTGTGGTACAGTGTTAGGCACAAACATGCCGATATCCCATCTATGTATGCTAGAAACGGGTAGCTACCCTCTATCCACCATAACCGTAATTCTGACTTACCTCTGTGGATATTGTTTCCTTTTGAGTAATCCAGGTCCTTCTACCTCCAGGTAACATTCTGTCATACTCTCACCTAACGGGTTGGTGAATGATACTTCAACATCAAACGATTTACCCTTCTTGATCTCATTTGGTACCTGCAATTTAGCACAGGGATGGTTATTATGATATACATATATTATTTTGAACCTATCAGCATTATTCAATGTTCAGAAAAGTCCAACAATACATGAGCAATATATTTTTTTATGAAATGGGAACATTTAGTAGGGGTTTATCCATTGACCAGTGTATCAATTAATTTACATTGTGATATTCTGGAAGAGGAAGTAAATGGAGAGAGATCTACTGTAAAAGATCTGACAACAGACTCATGGTGGAGAGATCCACTGTATAGATCTGACAATAGAGTCGTGGTAGAGAGATCTACTATTAAAGATATAACAACAAACCCATGATCGATTTACTCATGATAGGGAGATCCACTATTAAAGATCTGACAACACACACAAGCTGGAGTGATTTACTATAAGAGATCTGATAACAGACTCTGGTTAACATATCCACTATAAAAGATCTGACAACAGACTCTGGTTGACATATCCACTATAAAAGATCTGACAACAGACTCTGGTTGAGATATCCGCTAAAGAGACCCGACAACAGACTCTGGTTGACATATCCACTATAAAAGATCTGACAACAGACTTTGGTTGACATATCCACTATAAAAGATCTGATAACAGACTCTGGTTGACATATCCACTATAAAAGATCTGATAACAGACTCTGGTTGACATATACACTATAAAAGATCTGATAACAGACTCTGGTTGACATATCCACTATAAAAGATCTGACAACAGACTTTGGTTGAGATATCCGCTAAAGAGACCCGACAACAGACTCTGGTTGACATATCCACTATAAAAGATCTAACAACAGACTTTGGTTGACATATCCACTATAAAAGATCTGATAACAGACTCTGGTTGACATATCCATTATAAAAGATCTGATAACAGACTCTGGTTGACATATACACTATAAAAGATCTGATAACAGACTCTGGTTGACATATCCACTATAAAAGATCTGACAACAGACTTTGGTTGACATATCCACTATAAAAGATCTGACTCCTGGTTGAGAGATCGCTATCAAAGATTGGAAAACAGCCTCCTGATGAGGAGATCTAACATCACGAGATCCACTCACCTTGACAACTAGAGACGGCTTACACAATCTGAAGTCTTCTTGTGTGGTGAACACTTGTTCTGTACCCTGAACCTTGGCCATAGCAGAAAATTTCAACATACACATATCTTTTAATTTATTCATGTATTCATCAGCTTCTATATGGAGCTTCTGTTCTCTGACTGGAATAAGAGAAGAACATTTGAAAGTTGGTGGGGATTCCGCGTCGAAATATTTGATTAAACAGCAAATTTCAGCTAATGAGAACAATATTGAGGAGTTCGGTATGATTGTCGGTTGCTCATTTCAAGACCAAAGAAAAGAAGGGACATTCAGTTAATGTAGCCAAGTTGAGTGTTTAATATTGGATGCTTAATTTGAAACTTCCTCCCTGTCACATGTATATACCATAGATTGCGTTCACCTTTCTGACAGATTGTGTGTTGCACTGTGAAAGTTACTGGTGGCCAGATGCATCACACCCTTGACTCTTAACTGTCAGTTCATCTTACCTTCTCCTGGTGGAACAAACAGTTCAAACGTATCGGTTTTAATTTTATCAGCGCCGACTCCAGTATAATACATAGATCTACAGCTAAGTCTACCAGTTATATATCGCTCTGTGTTCCTGCTGGTATTCTTGATTTTAAATATTACATCAAAATCTTGACCAACATAAACATCGTCTTGTTGTTCAAGCTCAAATTCTACATCCTAATAATAGAAATACAGAAACTTTAATAAAATGAGAGTTTATAATAGCTGAAAAGCATCGTTTTATTGGCTGGATTGAAAGAGAAGGAGATCCTACTTATTATAGACCATTTTCGCCAAAGTGGTTTGCAAATCATGTTCAAATGTCCATTTCCTTCTGTTGAAGGAAACGTTTAAAAATATTCACCAATGCTTCCATTGCAAATGTGCTGATATAGACAAGTTCTGTTAATTGTAAAATCAGTTAACGGTTCCTCAAGCCAATAAAAGAACCATCCACACAGAAGCATTACAAGTTGAAAACAGTCTTGTTGGGACTTTATTTATGATGGGCTTGTCCGCGAAATATAAAGATCAAGAGCATGTCATTTACCTGTGGTCCCATTGCATAAATATCGTGTCGACAAGATCCAGTTTGATTAGCTCTCAATACAGCAGTTCTCTCTTCTTCTGAACCTGAAATAGTATGAAATTGACATTATTACATAAAACATATAAAGATAAACGAAACACTCTTTATTAGACCTAACTGGAAACGTTATACAGAGCGTACAGGGAGGTAAATGAAAATTTTCATAGATATATTACTCATAGATGACATCATGAATCAAAGACGAACACACTTAGTTCTGGTGGATGAGGCATGATCTGCCGCGCATGAGACCCACAACACTTCAGAATAAATTTGAGTTATTTCAATTTTTGGATAATAGGTCGACCTAAAGAGGTCAGAATATCGTACATGTGACTCAGTAAGAATGGCCCTACCTTCAGCATATTTATAAAGATGAGTTACATCTTCTCGTTCTGGTCGTAATGGATACTTGGTGCTGATTTTGCGTCCAACACTGTAATATACAATCAATAATTCTATATCCTTAGCCACAATATATTGTGAACGAGAAAGTATACAGAAACTTATTAGAACACTTGAAACAAACCAGAATACATTTTTTTTATAAACAGAATGTGTCAAGATTATATATGGCAGCCTTAACCAAAAATTAAGTTGACAACTAACATGATGATCTCTTTTGTGCGTTTCAGTGAATTTGACCATTCCTTGGCCCAAATTCATAAATTGCGATTGAAATTACCAGGTCGAGAAATACCTTATCTGGGATCAACAGTTAACTACGATTTCTTCAGCATTCAATGTTATCATTTAAACTTCTTGGTCCATGAACCGATATATTGTCCTGATGAAATTTAGACAGTGCCATCCGAAAAACACATTTTGTCAATATTTCTGGAAATTGGCAGGTTTCCACGCCAACAAGGTACGGGATCTCACCTTTTTTTCTCGGTATGGTTGTTGATCATGGTACCATCTAACTCAGTTGTCCAGTAGATCTTATCAGCGTTTACTTCAGCAAAGATAAATGGACCATCAAAAGCATATGCTAATTCGCCATTTTTGACTGCTTCTAATGATGCAGGTCCACAACAGTACACACCTACAAAAGCCAATACAAAATGGAGGATGCGACTTTGTATTTATTATCAAGAACACGATTTATTATAAAACAACTATTTTTGTACTTCAGATAGCACGTGTCTATAGTCATTATTCAATTAAACCTTTCTTAATTGTAGAATCATTTTCAGGGTAAGTCACATTCATCCCCTTTCGTATATTATCACATACAGATCATGCTTGAGTCCAAACGCCTGTACATGTATCAGCATTTTAACCTGATTGCAAAGAGAGGCTTCTAATTGTCGCTGTTCTGGTACGTTATATCTCTAAGAGTAGAGTAGTTTATCCTAGGCCGTAACTACATCAAGGCCAATGAGAAAAATGTCTCATGCCGAATTAGAAAAAGAAACAAAAAACAATTTGTTTAAAACATTAGAAACATAAATATGATTATATTTCGATTTGAGGCTGACTCACCATCACTTGTTTCTTGAGGTGTGGCATCAGCCGCTTGCCATCCTCCATAACCTGTTGGCAAATCATTTCTAGCCATCCATACCTCATTCCATACGTGGAAATTCCTAGAAAAAGGGTAAAGGGATTTATATTGCAAGTTAATTGCTTATATTAATGTTCTGGATATTAATCGCTATAATCATCACAATCCAGTTTGCAAGAATATCCTAAATTTTATATTGAAAGGCATTGAAATATCATACGCCCCCTTGATCAGCCGATCATAATTCACTAATTCCTTGGATCAACCAATTAAAATCCACCACAGTTTGCAAGAATATCCTAAATGGTTATCTTCTCTCCATGTTCCTTAAGCAACGTTACATGATAATAATCATGAATGTGAATAATCGTACCGTTACTTAAGGAACAGTCATGTCTTCTGTCTAGCTCTTGGAAAGAGATAGCAAACCAGTATTTAACCATGCATCACTATATAGTACGTCAGGAGCATCTATTGAAGCTCTTCAGTTTCGTGTTTGTCTAGTGTATCCTTGATGGGAGAAATAAGGTCAAGTTTCACACACGACTTTAGCTTTTGCTTCAGAATTGCTTAGTTTTTTTTTGGAAAAATAAAGTCCAAGCAAATGGTCTTACCAAACTGAATCCGAGTTTTTGGTCTCATCTGGTTCACCTAGGTGGTCAAAATGGATATCAATAGAAACACTACCATCCGTATCGTGAGCCGAGGCAAAGTTGGTGACACTTCTAGCTGGTATTCCCAGTGCTCTACATGCTGAAGAAGATATGAAAAGATAAGCTTTATATATACAAGTATGCATTATTGAAAACAATATAGCTATTTAACGCTCAAATCTAAATCTGAAAATTCAAAATTTCTGGTAGGTGCGTGACTTTTGCCGCGATAACATTTCTCTTTGCTACGGATATGGAGATGAGTGAACATGAAGAAACACGGTATAACCGAAAAACATTTCAACAAAATTTGAATTTAGATTTATAAGAAAATTATTTACCTGTGGTCAATACACCCGAGAAAACCCAACACTGACCAAATTTAACAGGTCTATCTGTATTGTAGTATTCCTCGAAGATAGCTTCTGATCCCGTCCATGTTAGAGGTGATTTACCTCCCCTGTAATCTCCAGACCAGTTGCCCACCAATACACCACCATCATCTGGAGCATTGATCTGAAACAAGAAGTGAAGAGTGTGGTGTCTTACTAAGTTATCAATTGCAATTGCATGTTGGATTCTTTCACACGGAACATGTCTTACCTAGATTAAAGGGATAGATGCGCCATATGTTTTTATCAATCCTACTTTAGTCTCAGAAATGGGAATTATTTTAGTTATACCAATCAGTAATAGTGTTCACAGTTCATCGTCGAAATTGGAGCTTTCAAATACATGTGTGGCCAGAATTACCAGCGTTTAAATGTTAAAATGATGACTCGTCATTTTAAGATACTCTGTGATATATAGAAAAGACATATATAGAAAGTATTTTTATGGAATTATGCGATTTTCGTAGTACTTCTAAAGACTATTTACATATATTCAAGACTAAGGGCCGTATGCTGCGCTCGAACTTAACGCTAAGTCAGACTTCGGGTAAAGTCAGACTTTGTAAAGTTTCGCCTGAGCTCGACTTTGTAACTAATTCATTTCGGTATGCATGGCTTCAACTTAAACTTATCTTTGCTAAGTTTAACTTCTTCTGTGTATGTACGGAAAACCAACGATAACTCAAAGAATTATAATTTAATTTCGAATGTATTTGTTAATAGAAAAAAGTGATTGATACATTTAAAAATACTAAATACTAAAATTTTGATCGGACACTTACGGACAGCAAGAATTTGGCATGTTTCTCATGTGCTTTTCCGTGGGTTCTTTACTATAAATACGCATCAGGGTCATTACAAATCATGATTTGATTGATTGTTCAAGATATCAGATAGATAATTACCTACTTTAATTCCTTATCGATGTAGTGGATGAGTTTAAGGGTGTATTGGAGTCGAAACAAAATGATATTCGGTCCATACAAAGGAAGGAAAAGGCGTGGGGAGAAATAGAGGCCTACTTTCTTTAAACGAGATCACAAGCAGTTAAAGAAATGCTGAAATAATTTGAAAATGAAGGCAAAAAAATCTGTAGCGATTGAAAAAAGAGAAAGAAAACTGGTGGTGGTAAACAGGAGACAATGGATTCTAGTAATTCAAATCAGGTGTGTGCTATGCTACCGCGGCACAAATGCACCCTTTGCAGAATGATTTTAATAACGATATGGATTTCCATCAAGATAGCTTCACTTTGGCTCAACGGACGTCAGGTTAGTTAAAGGGATACAGTTCTCTGATTAAACATAATTTGAACTTCTCAAATCCGCAAATCCAATTTCAATAAAAAGTAGATATTAATATGTCACTTCGAGTTTGACAAGTGCTGTGGAAATTTCGAAAGAAGATAAATTACGAGACTGATTCCACCCATTCTGCATTGGTACTGAATTTTTAAATTCCAGCGGAACATTGTGTCCAGATACAAATACAGTTCCAACACAGAATTCATCACTGATTCCATGTGTACAGCCAATTGTTCCGATTATCCCCGAAAACTGCGTAATGTCGTAAAAACCTCGTTGTATTGTTTTTATTTCATTTTCATCTGGAAACGTAATTACCTCGGGCCTATGAATAGCTATAGCCCTTGATACCAATTTCACTATTCGGGAGACACTGGATTGATGGACGCCCATTATGCCCCCACGTTTATTTGGAAAGAGCCACTAGCATACCAACGAAGACATACCAATAACTGTAGTAATGGTGGGATATGTACAGTTTGGTCACATCGATGATTGAACTAATTTCAAAAATATGCAGAACGCCATCCTTCGGAAATCTGAAGCGTTTCGTAAATTCACTCTCGTCTAGATCTTCCATTGGATTTGAGCGGTCTTTAAATCTCCTCTCCACATGGTAAATATCTATAATTTGGTGTAATGGGTTGAAATAATCTTCCATTGTCACAATTTCAATCGCAAACGTATATAAAGTACGTCTAAAGTCTGCTACCACCCTATCTTAGACTTTACTTGTCCATAAAACGCTCGAGTAAAGCATGACTTACATCAAAGATCGAGCGCAGCATACCTAAAGTCTGACTTAAGCTCGACTTTGAGTAAAGTACGACTGAAGTTCGACCGCAGCATACGGCCCTAAGTGTATGCTAATGTAACAGTTCTATCAAATGTGAAAGTACCTGTTTCTGGTGACTATTTAGTCACGGATTATTTCGTTTTCAATATCAGGATTAGCACTGTTGAACAACGCGATTCATTGGCTATGTATCATCTTTTGCTTGATAGAAATTGAGTTTCACTTACCATGGACGTTAATTTTCTAACGACCTGAATTGGATTGCCACGACAAACCCAGTTTAAACCAGATATATCTAACAGATGCATAACACAATCCAATACCTTTCCTTGGAACTGAAGTACAGAAAATAACATAATCTAGAAATACTTGGAGACGAAAAAAAAAAGAAAAAGAAAACGTAACATCTGCATGTACCCGAATAACTCTTGCTTCACTCTACTGCAGCTGGTCATTTAATGGGTCGTTTGAAACTTTTGCTATTAACGGTGCATTTTTATTCTTGATGTGTCCTTCCCGATATATTTAAAAACTTCAAGACGGATAGATTCCAAAATGAATTCTGACAAGGCGATAGTACCTTGTGAGGTGTACGATTCTATTGAATTAGAATTAAAATAAAAGTAAGCTATTCTTACCTGACCAAAGTTCCAAGGTTTTGGGCTGATGTTTTTATAGGTACCAGAGTAAATTCTACCATTTTCATTTAAAATATATTCTTTCAGATCAGTTTCTTTGTACACTGTGTCCTCTAGAATGTGTTAATTGTTTTATTAGAAGTGAATTACAATATTTGCAGTAACGGACTGCAAGAGGGTGCATCTGATAAATAAGACGACATAAAGTCTACTTGATAACTGTATTCTGACAAATCGCAGCAATGTTCTCACTTTCATTTGTCGTCGGCCAGTTGATAGCAGTTGCCAGCGGGTGCATTTTGCTGATATAGAATGCGACAGTTCCTATGAGATACTGGTCTCGTATTCTCAAAACGATCTTAGCGCTAGGATGTCCTAGGTTCTAACATTGACTCTAAGACATTCTAGCGCTAAGATCATTTTGAGAATATGTGGCCTGGATTGCAAGTCGACATGAGCCTACCATTAATCAATTCAAAAATTACAACCACTTACCTTTACTGAAGGGATTAAAGAGAATATAGATTGGATCTTTATGAGTATATCTAAATATAGAGGATTTAGTGTCGGATTTCTTGACTACATCCACTTTAAAATCCCATTTAGCCACATAACAGGTTGGTGGAGTAAAAATAGTGATTTCTAGATTGTTTCTGTCTTGTCTTTTTACTTTACCACCCCATTCTTTAGGCTTGTCCTCATCGGATAACACAAACTCCACGTGGGTCTTTTTGTTCGGCAGAGGTTTATCTCCTGAATAAGAAAATGATGACTTTTAAAGGTTCTGGTCCAAGGACACACGAATTTCTTAAGCGTATTAAAAAGGCTTAAAATATTTATCGCGTAATAGAATTTATTCCCGAAAAATATTTTATTTGAAGAAATTTTTCTCTCTGTTGAGTTATAGTATCATTCATTGATGCCGAGTTGCTATAATTGCTGCAATGAAGATATTGGTCGGCTACTGATGGGCGAATGTGAAAGGAAGTATTCAATCTTATGTTTATGTATTATGGATGTCAAAGGAAGAGTTGTTCATCTAATGATAATACATATATAAGGAAATAAACTCAAACTAAACTGAAACTTGTTAAGCCAGGCATTTTTCACAATTATTTGTTTAATTTATCAGAAGTTGGTAGTAAACAAATTTTGCTATAATTTCATGCAAAAACATGTCAGATCAACGAACAATTACTAATAAATTCAAATATCATATCAAAAACACATTAGATTATCAAGTACCAACTGTGAACAGTAGGGTGTAAAACTCAATTTAATATAATTTAGAGGCCCTTAAAACGGATGAATTACTTTGTATAATTTATTTCAAAGTTTACGCTTGAAATAAGTGATAAACAATTTGTTTATGATATTATTGTCAACGACCTACTGCATGCTGGTTTGAATCATTTAAACGTTAAAAATCACAACCAGTCTTATTCGATGATTTCATAACAGGTTGATTTTTTTAGAACTAAAAATGATTTTGTGTGGGTGGTCAATTACAAGTCAAAGGATCCAAAGACTTCGCCGTATACATGGCTATCTAACTTCAGCCAAAATCTAGCTCCTCATCTATATGAAATTACTAATGGTCTTTAAATTGAAATTTAAGGTCTTGGAAAATTAGTTTGGCGTTGACTTTCCTTATATCGTTGAAGATGACCACCCACCTGTTTCAAACACTAGTCTTAAATCATCGTTGTTTTTATCATAAGGTTTATTAAAGGTGAGAGTGATATCGAAGGGTGTCCCTCTCCTGACGACCAGTTGTGGATCAGGCGTCTCATCATCCTGGGTTATCTCGAACAGATCTGTGTTATGTCGTGGTGTATTCTGTCGAATATTATAGTCCACCTTCTCTACTTGTAGTACATTATCTTTCTTCTTTGGGTCTGAAAATACAAAAATATCAGAGTTCGTAATACATTTCTTTCTACATTCTGTGATCTCTTAAGCGATATTATTACGGCAAATATTAATAATTTAAAGAAATACTACGTCTTAGAATGAACATAAAATTTAAGAATTTTAAACTTGGCCAATAAGATCTGTTGCTCTGTGACCTAGGCCATTGCTTTCATTGAGACTCGTCTCAATACACCCTAACACCATATATTCATCAGTAGATATACCTGGTGTCATAATTAACATAACATAATCCGATAAATCCAACAAACTTAGTAATAATCCATAAATATGCAATTAACTATTGAAAAATGCTTAAGATTAAGCGTTTTTCAATAATTACTTAGTTTTATGAATTTTCCAGTTTTCCAGATTTTAGAGGAAATTGTTGTAACTTTATGACACCAGGTATATCTACTGATGAATATATACTCATATTGACCATTCTCGAGAACTTAAATTTTATGTTCTTTCTAAGACATTGATATTGCCTCTCCCTTATTCTGACTTGGATCTTCGGTAAGCATTTTGATGATCATTGTTTTGAGATAGCATTCCAGAGGTAAGGTGCGACACTATTTATTGTGGTTAGCATGTCGAAACTGGCTGACTCGGACAAGCTTCTACATCTCCCAAAATTATCATATTCTCAACCGAGAGGCAGCTAATCCGAACACCAATATACAAAGCAGGATACTGAGGGATCATGGAATGCATTCAATCTGTGAAATATGTAAAATATGTTTGCCATAGTAGTCAGGTGCCATGGTAGTCAGGTGCCATAGTAGTCAGGTGTCATGTGCCATAGTAGTCAGGTGCCATGGTAGTCTGGTGTCATGGTAGTGTGATGCATATTGACACTATAAAGATGTATAAATAAGTTAGACTGCAAGTAACCCTTGGAACATCAGGACGATAACCAGACTAAATGGATAATTGACACACAAACATTCTTACAAACTGGACTCAGCTACCTCCAAATGCCCCCACCCCCTTTTCAAACCCACAAAGTCTGAACTTGTTTATTTCATCGTATGAAAACAGTCTTTCTTCATTGATGTAAAATTGATTAGTGCACATTTGAAATATGTTCTGTCATGTTTATACTTGATTGTGAATCAATTCACGAGTAATAGTTATTGTAATAATTGTATTGTAATGTGATTTATTAAAAAGAAGTGTGTTTATTCCAATAATTGTAATGTGTGATATTGTAATGAAACTCTATTGGAAATATAATGATGATTTAACGAGACCAAGAAGTCACTGTAATCTTATTGTTATACGCTTATTTTGCAAGATAATGTTTTTTTTGCCAAATGGCTTTCAGCGAAATATAATGAGTCATTTTATAGAAATTGAAATAAACCCGTACCTGTATTTTGTAAATATGTATACCGTATTTTTTAAGATTTGCTTGATGAAATGTATATAAAACTTATGAAAGAATTATGTAAATTGAAGTTAAGAGCTAACTTTATATGCAAATGAATTTTTCATACACAGTGGTAGCTTTGTTACAGTAAAAAAGAATCCACATTTTTGTTCAATAATAGGGTCTTGAAAACTTAATAGGCCATTACTTTGGTCGTGGCTTGTTTACGGTCAAATGAGAACAAATAACAACACGTGCACTGAAATTCCCTACAAAATCTGAAATTTGATATGAAAATGGCACATGATACCATGATGTGTAACACACATCTGATACCATAAATTGTATTACATATTTAATACCATGATTTGTATTACATATTTAATACCATGATTTGTAATACAGATTTGATACCATGATTTGTAATACAGATTTGATACCATGAATTATAATACAAATTTAATACCATGAATTGTAATACAAATTTAATACCATGAATTGTAATACAGATCTCATACCATGAATTGTAATACAGATTTGATACTATGAATTATAATACAGATTTAGTACCATAAATTGTAATACAGATTTGATACTATGAATTATAATACAGATTTAGTACCATAAATTGTAATACAGATCTGATACAATGAATTGTAATACAGATCTCAGATACCAGATAAAGATCTAATACCATGAATTGTAATACAAATCTGATACCATGAGTTGTATAATACATCAGATACAATGAATTGTAAAACAGATCTCTTAACCATGTACATAATACCATGAATCGTAAAAAAGTTTTGATACCATAAATTGTAATACATATCTGATACCTTTTAACATTATTTATATAAAGAATAGTTGTGGTCTAAATCGGAGTAGTTTTGTAAAATTTGAAGTTTTAAAGTAAACACGGTGTGAAAGAAATAGATAAAGTTGTGTTGAATGATGGGTGTATATATAAATTATATGGGATATTGACATACATCTTTTATTTATAGATACCTGTACAACTCTTAGATATTGAAAATTGACAAGGTAGTTTTAAGATTGCTCTATCGTCAATATTCCTCGCTATATTTATGTAACTGAATATAATTGACTATGACACCTATTATAAAATTCGGCTTAGACTTTCGTCATCAGTATGTTCTCTAAGAATTTGCAGGCCATTTTACCTTGGGTCATCAATGTCAAAGATACCCTAATTTCATACAGCGTGGCTGATATATTTAATTTTGGTCATTACGGTTAGCAATTAGATTTAATGGCAAATTAAGATGTTGTATGTTGTATTCGAATGAGCGCTCGTTCTTATCTGTTCAAAGCCTTTACTATATAACAAACTAATTTGATTCTTTGAAAACGTAGTCTACATTTTTGATGACATAATATATGGACAATTCAAAAGATGCCCCGATTCACTGAGTTTAGTCTGCATGAATAGAGAGAAGGGCTATCAGAGCCGAACATGTAAATTAAAAAAAAACGACGATACATACGACACTATAAGTTACGTTTTATGTCATTTATTGTGTAAGCTAAATACGTGACATATTTGGAGACACGCCGATTATAGATGTGTACAACACGTGAGATTTGTTTTTACATGTTTTGGGATAACATTAAAATGCAGAATTCATTGTATAACTCACTGAGTTTTCTAACTTTGACAGTCCGACATCTGTCGCAAAATACTCCATGAAAATCATTTCTACCGGCACACTTTCTACTAAATATCATACAGCTGATTGGAGCCAATTTCAACTATTCGTGTCTCTTCTCAAAATGAAAATCCAGCGTTTGGTTTCTTGTACTAAAAGAATTAAAGATAGGGTATCTACCCTTACAGTTATTATCAATCACAGAGCTCTGTCAACTGTGAAAAAAACCATTAAGATTTGTATATTCCTTATGGGTCCCTAGTTCACATCTCGGGAAGCATCTGTGAAGTATGGAGACAGTTTTTATTGCCAAACACATAATTCACGGAATTCGGTATTGACCACTGTTACCGAGTTTAAGAAAGAAGGAGGGTCCCAACGGCGCAAAACTTCCACAAGTTTTAGTAACCGGGGTTTTAAGCGTAATAAAGATATACCTATATGCAGTGTGAATGAATATAGCAGTTTAATTTGTTCAGCTGTGTACATTAGTATGCAGTGTAGAGTTGATTAAATAACAGAGAGTAATGAGATATCTTGAAAAGATAAAGAACACGAGATTTTAAACTACCCCAAATTCTTAATGATTACAACTGTATTTACATTCTTTTAAAGTGGCGTTCCTTTTATTCGTGATTTATTTAAATGGGGTGTTGAAGTTTAACTTCATCAGCTTAAGATTTGTTGGACCATTTGGTCATCTACATGCATATTTCGTCTGAGATAATCGTTGTTTAAGTTTCTACAAAAATCCATGACCAAAGACAATGAAACAAGCAAATTTATAAATTTTGAATTCAGCTGCAAACCTAATTGGTTGTAACCGCAAAAACCAACTTAATGAATCACTGAAATGTTCCATGTCAAGAGAAGGATTCGAACCCATGTCGATAATTACCAGCACCACCGACCCGACTCGCAATACAGACTTGTGAAGGTGAGTTTATCAGTCAGAGTTGAGTCCTACATGTTAAATATTATTACTACCTGAGGACCATTTTAAACAGGTTTTTACACCTTTAACGACATCAAACACCATGTTGCTATATAAACCATGTAGCTAGGTTTTATAACAACTCTTTATATCTTCTCTTTTAGGTAATCAAAGAACGGTTCACAGAAATATTGCTTGCCATGTAACTCTAGTAGACATTAAAAGAAATGAATTAAGTGGTGGTAATCCGTCCTTTTTTAACCACCCTGGTAGATTGAGGCGCTTGATTTAATGATAGCCTTGAACATTCTCTGTTGATATTTACTGCATTTTGTTTGAAGTTTTAAGGAGAAAGCAAAGGTCATGGTAAAAGTTATAATACGAAGGGTAATAATTAAACCTTCATTATAAGGGAAAAATCAACAAAAGATCTCTCCAAATTCTAGATTTCCCATCCCAGTAACTTCTTTTAGAGTTGGGATTTAAAACTGGAGCTTAAACTTCGCCAATTTTAGGTAGTTTCCTTTCAGCTTAATTTAGTGGAACGTTTACATCAGTAGACAACAAGCTGGATTGTAAGCTTGGGTTCGGTTAGTATAATACAAATGTATATTATCATTTATTATGCATCACTCCAACACTCCAACAATGGCTGATCAAAAGAAAATGAACAATGCTGGACAATCTAGAATACCTCTACCGATTCTTCTATGATCTCGAGTGTATAAGATTTCTCACTTGTACTTCTGAAACCACGAGAATGCTCGAACGGCCATGATGGACCAAGGTGTCAGAAATAATGATTTGTGAGCTTAACATGGCTTCTTTCTGATAAGGAAGCCGAGTGCTAATGATATAAACAGATACCCCAGACTTACATTATCTTCATAACTAACCTAGAGTTAATGTTTTGTACTCATTAGTAAACATCAGTTCCTGGTAGAAACAGAATTTGGCATCAAGTCAAAATTTCTTTCATATCATAAATTTCTATAAGTCTACATGCATATGTAGCTTGAACTCTCTTACAAATATAGTTTATTTGCGGAGGTAAACAAAATTAAATTAGAAAAAATCAGACTCTATAATTTGACATCTGTCGGTAAGTTAGTAATGATTATCATAAAAATTTTGTTTCCTAATTACGATTTTGAGATAAACCACCCACATACTGTGCTTTGTAACAGAGGGATAGGTATGGATAATGCTCAAGCTTTCCGAACACTCGTCGTAAACCAGTGAATGTAGACCGTACGTTACATTGATATACGAAAACAATTTGCCAATGTTCTGACAAAATGTCCTTATTCATGGCGTTGTCCATCTTAACCAGTACAATCCAGTGGACGTAAAACTCTATCTGATTTTATTTCAGCAAGGTGATCTATGCTTGGTCTCTAAGTCTTCTATACATGCCGATAGTTTAATCACAAAATACTTATCAGAATAAAAAAAAAATAGTAACGATAGAGCTATAAATTCGGCCTATATAAGATTATACATAATTTTAAATAAGATAATATGATAATTCGATGCTCATATTTGTTTGATATTTAATTTCCAATGTAACTTTGGTACAGATTACACCTGTAGTAATTCATTTGGTGTCTAACCGGACAGTTGAATGACACTTCCTGCGATTTCAGTGCCAAAATTACACAGGAAAAGCACATACCTAATGCAATATTAGCCTAGACATTTGATGAAGTTAACCTTGTAACCCCCTGATCTTTAAATAATAGGGTGGGGACAAACATTATCAACCTATCTACAGATTATCAAAAGAAATAGTTAGATATCTATGTAATATCTATATTTTAAGCTTAACCAATCTAAATACTGACTTGTTCCCGAATCAACCTTGTCATATTCAAGGTTTTTATCTCATATTTTACATTCCTTCATTAATAAACTTACTATATGGGCAATATTGAACTGTTCAAGATCTCACTTATGTGCACATCGAGTACTATCAGACTCGGATATTACTTTTGCAAGTTTATTTTGCTACTTGGTACGTTTTGGCAATGTCAAATGAATTACTTCATCAGAAATCACAAAAATTGAACTCATCAGAGATTTTTTCATGATGCCAATTCTCATTAAAATTCGGTCTAAACAATGTCTTTTCACGTTCAGGTGTGAATGTGAACGAACCCAGGGAAGATTTCCGGAGACAGCGGCGGTGATAATATACACTAACAGTATTAAGCAGGAGTATAAAAACCAGTAGATTTTTTATAGAGTGTATTCACTGCTGTGATCTAAATGTCGTTAATGTATTGAAATCACCCCAAATCAAAGTGTTTTGCACTTAAACGAATAATGGAGTCCTACAAGTGAACATTTGGTAATTGACTTTAAATAGTGTGACATATTACACATTTATTAAGAAATTGCTAAGCTACAATGTACTACTATGCAATTTTTCTTTTGACGTTGACTCTTACATTAATAAGGTAGTTTTGGTAACGATCTATCCAACTCTCTATGACTTACCTTTTGAAAGTTTATCGCCATAACTGGCCACATACCTATACCGATAGGTAGGTGGGTTTAAAGCACTGTGTGTATTATGATATGTTTCTCTTGTTATTGACCCAGCAGACCCTGGTCTTCGGGGTTTACTCGCACCACTACCCATTCTAATCTTTTTCCTCAAAACTCGTGGTTCAGTTCCTTATAATCGTTATTTCATGGCATTAAACACAAGACTGGTGCTTTTATGAGACTATGTTCTCATCACCTGCTAACACAAGTTATACAATCCTCAGAGCACAATGTATCACAAAATTGCCTCTTGATATATCTAATTTGATACCGTGGCCAGTGTTTACGAAATAACTCCAGAAGTCAATACAAAACCTTTCCTCTGTATCTACTACCATATAACAGACGATAAGCTGTTTAAACTACTTAAAAATCCTCCACTACACCATCATAACAAGGTGCTAACTTGTCCTGCACCAAATAATCTTTAAAATATTTTAAATTTAGCGTCTGAAATCTTTCAAAACTTCCTGAAACCTGTTATTTAAACATATTTTACCAGTTTTGAGATGAAACATTAGTATATTCTAACAGTTTGGTATATCTATGATCTATTTATAGTAACAGGTACCAACAGTGCCAGGTGGAATAAACGGTAATGAGAATTAGGCCACTGCTAGACATTCCTTAGTTCCATTCAGTTATTAAAGTTATATAGTACTGTATCTTTATACGCCTGAACTTACACGTACATGCACGCTCACCTTCCTCAAGCTGGTTATTCTCCCTTGTTACATATTTACAGACCTAGAAGTAATGTTTAATCCATCCAGATAAGTTCTAGGTATTCCAAATACAACTCTTTAACCTTAAAAACATCATTCTTATTACATCTAGCTAATTAATAACACAAGTTAGCATTTTTCAGTCTGTATCGGGTTCATAATAAAGAATTATCCCCCTTCTCTGAATACGTTCCCCTCCGTTTATTTCCTCCAGGGAACGGGTAGGGCCAATAAAGGGCTATTTACCCACGTTTATAAACATTACATTATCAAGTACAGTTCTTTAGTTTCTATAGGCGTCCTTAGTTACAATCCATTCAAATGTAAAATAAAAATCAATATTATTATATTTCTATCGATATTTTGACCCATATTTCTTTATTTATCGATACATTGGTAAAACAGAACACCACGGATTTCTCCATATAAATCTTAATCTATCATATTGGACAAAAATTCTGGTGCAACATTTCGATGCCAATTGAAAAGCTGCCTATCTTAACTTGTTCACTTCAATCGAAAAGTTTTTTAAAAAAATATCTAATGTCCATCAAAACAATTCAGAATCAACTCAACTCAACCCAACCAAAAATCCAATCGAACCAAACACATTTGATCAATTGTTTCATTTCATGCCAACCAAACGCATTCAATTCCATCTAAATTCTTCCTGAGTAGCGAACACACTTTAAACAAAGACTGTGTCCATGAAAACGGAAATTATTCAATGCCAACCAAAGTTAGTCATATCCGTGTTCATGTTGAGAAATCGAGCTGTATTGTATGATTGCTTTTTAACTTCTGTTTATAGTTTGCTGAATAGATCAAAAGAGGAGTGGGGCGACGACTGTGTCCGGTCGAAACAGAATTAATTTGTTCGATTTCGTTATGTTATATTTGGCAAATATGAAAACGCAAATGTGGAAAAAGGAAATTCAAAATCTAAAATTTTGAAGACAAAAAAGCCTCGGTATCACAAAAAACGTGCTCTAGTTACATTTTAAGCAGCGAAATATGTAGTTTGTTTGAACATTAAAGGAAGGGACAGATGTATCATTTGGATTTGGGGAGGGGGGGGGAGGGGGGGTTGAGTTGAGTCTTGAATATATATAAATAGTCATCAGAAGTACTAAAAATGTACGAAAATCGCATAATTGCTTCAAAACTATCTCAAACTATACTGTATAATAGGAAGTTTTTTCCCTATTTCTATAGATATCTTTTATTTATATACTTTCAAACACGGATAATTCTGGACACGCATGGATTTGAAGGCTCAAATGTCGACGGTGAGCTGTGAACAGTATTTCTGATTGGCTAAGCTAAAAAATTCCTGTTTCTGGGACTAAAGTATGATAGGTCAAAAAAGATGGCGTATCTGTCCCTTTAAATATAGAGACTACAAACATTTGGGTTGTCTAGCATTAAGACTGAATACAGGTTGTTTATACAATGTTTACTCTGTTATACCCTATACTTTACAGGAATATAAATTAGGTATTGTCACTCTTACTCTTAAAAAAAGCCATAAAATACTGTTGTTCGCGTTTACCTACAATGCATTCAGATATAACTGTCTGTACTCGTTTTACAAAATACAAAAGACGCCTATTTCTTATCCCTTTGATTGCAATTCGAAAAACATTATGCTAAAATCGCCCCCATTTCTTCAAAATAAACAAACTCTGTTGATCAAGCTTTTAACCAAACATATAAATATGACACTATGATTTGTATTTTAAATTTAATGTTTGATAAATTGAACATGTTTTAAATTGATAAACAGTTGTCCGCAGAACAATCTGTAATACTAAGATCCATTCATTTCTTTATATTGTACACTGGGTGGGCTTCCACTATAATTTCAAGACGTATATTACCAGACACTGTAATCTCTTCGTGCGAATGGGTATCTAAAGTAAGTTTATTTTAAAATTTTGTCGTAATAACTGGCACCTATTCTCATTTGTAAATCTTCAGAGAATTGGAAAATGGAGATTTCATACTCGGTCTTTGGTTTCACAATTGATCAGGACAAAACTGAAGTTTTCAAACATTTTTCTACCTCAAAATTTTGTTAAAAGGATATTTATTGGCAGAGTGTTCCATGTAGGCCTCGAAGTCGCCACAATTAGCCGAAATCGTCCGTCGTATTTTACTCACCAATCCTCGTCGAGTTTTTTTTTTCAAATAGTTGAAAACCCTTATGCAAAGAGAGTGGTCACGATATCGCCACTCGCCGTCGAAAATTTAATTGAGATTGAAATTAGTTTTATTCACTATAAAATACCAAAATGATGTAACACAATAAAAACAACAATGCATGTTATGTTATGATCTTAGACCCGGGACCTAGAACAGTAAACCAGTGCAAATATCTGAATACATTCAAGTATGTTCTGCACAATATATGTAATATAAATAACATTATATAGTTAATAACTGAATAGCACATTGATTTATTTGCAGTTGAACAAATCTGTCACATTTATTCAACTAGTTGCAAAGGTCAATCACAATCTACTGAAGTCAGTCACAATTTCATATTGCTGTTTTGTAACTATGCACAAGTATTTCAAAAGGCTTTTTTTCAGTAAAATGTCGAAACTCCCGTCCTTTAACTGACTCAGCAACCAGTACAATCAACCAGTACAAACAACCAGTACACCATATTACTGGGCTATTATTATAAATGTTAAGTGAATATAATATATAAGAAGCTGAAACCATCATCACCTGATCAATAGCATATTGAATAGATAACAGTTATTGAATAACAAGTTTTATATGGCATGTTTTCCTTATATCGTCTGCTTCATAAGTTTATAGGACAGATAACATTTAGCCTGCAGACATTTGCAAAAGATTTGAATCTTCTGAGTTTCAGATATACAATTAGATTACAATTTTTTTTTTTGATATTGTCGTAAACGAGACGAAAAATAATATCAGAAAAAACGAAATTGTTATCAAATTCTAATTAGAACTTTACCATCTCAACATTGACAAAATTTTGGACGTCAACAACAAGTTTTAGTCACTCTTTTCTTTATTTAAGCCACAGACAACTAACATTATGGCAAAATGCGAGCTAGTTAGATGCGGAAATTTCTTTTGCATATAACAAGTCACGTCTGTAGAAAACCTACACCTCTTGTTAGTGATGGATAAGTGAATAGGAGATTAGATTGATTCAAATAAATTCAAGATGCAATGTGCAATGATTTATAACAAGTTGGGGCGACCTGACCAACAAACCAACCAAGGTTATGTCAAACATGTTGCTTCAATCATATTATGGACAAGTCATCAGATCAAACAAATATCACACCAGAATGTGGCGTTTCCTTTAAAACTTGAGGCAAGAGGAAGGTCTGCAAGTTGTTTCTATGCTCAAAATAACTAGAAAAGGGCAGACAAACACATAGGTCATTTTAAAAATATTTTATTTTTGGCATTCCTTTGTTAATCTGCATGTTTCCTCACAGATCTTGGAATCATTTCCTGTATTGTTAAATTTGTTATTCTTATTATATCATACTTGTCTTATTTCTAGCGGCCTGGAAAACCTGGATATATTTGCAATAGAAACAGTTTATCCTTTTATTTTTATGATTTTATGCGTAAAATATGTGACCACTAGAAGTTGAATTTCTCTTTTATTTTGCACAATTAGATTAAATATGTTCTATGTATGTATGTTTCTTTTCTTTTTTACCTGTGGATTATTTCCAAGTTGCTGTTGTATAAAATGTGTTTTTAATATATCGATTCTGTATTCCATCTTTTGCCGCACCAATATAATACCGTACGCAACAATGCCAATCCCTCATGTGTTTTGTATATATCAGGTAATTGTATAACATTGTGAATGAACCATGCAACTCAGTAAGATGTTCAAGATGTTACTTACACCTTCCTCTCATGTTAAGATAACCTACTGAACGTGTTTTATCTCACCAGTATCTTGTTTCTGTAGATCATGTGCATTCTGTCGAAGATGCAGATGTGTTTTGCAGTGGCGTTTTGTCTGTGGACCCCATGAAAAATTCGTGACCCCTACTCGGCCCCTCACCTATTTTTCCCAGAAACGCCATTGGTGTTTTTGATACTTGATGTGAAAAGCAGAGGACATTTAGTGTACAGTGTTGGTTTTAAGCCCATTGTTCAATCCCATCAATAACAAAATGTGTTTTTGTCTTTTTTTCCAGCTTAGCTAGAGTATTATACCTCCGAAATCGTTTGATGGCTATTCTGCACAGACCGATTGAAACTGTGTGCTACTGGCAATAATGCCTGGTAAAGGGGCGTTCAGCATCTACCCACTAATGCCCAAGGGTACAGTTGGCGTTCTTGAACTGTATTAAATATTTCTGGATGAAGAAAGAGGGAACATTAGCAAACCGAACTTACCCTTGTCAGGTGTATTTGGTCTTTGTTCACGTCTGTTAAATCCTAAGTTAGAAAGCCAGTTCTCCATGGGGTCACCGTAACCATATTCAACCACATTATCATAATGGTTATTGTTAGATTCGTTTTGATTAAAGTCGTGGAATCCTTGGAACCCGCCAAATCCTCCACCAAATCTTCCACCAAATCCACCATAGGTTGACCTATGGCATCTGCCAGGTGAAGCCATGTCATGGTGACCCCCAAAATGGCGATGCCCTCCGCCATGATGACGACCATGACGTCTAAATCTTCCCTGATGTCGAGGCATTGAGACGACGTAGTAGCTCTGAAGAAGAGAAACCAGATTATAAAATTACTAAAGTCTTGTATTCAAACATATTTGATGATACTGGTCTTGTGTAAGAGGCAATCCTGTAACCTTTAATAGTGAAACACCTCTTAGTCGACAAACTATCGAACTAACGGAAAATTTCAGTTTTGAGGGGTTAATTGTCTATTAATTAGAGGGGGCCGGTATAGTAAGGTTTATTTTCTACGGATTGTATAGTGACCAGGTCTTTTCAAATATGCAGTTAGAGGGATTGCATTTTTATTTATTAATACAAATGCACAAATTTACTTAAGTTGACTACCCCCTTTGAAGGCTTTTATTCCAAATCTTACAAAACCTTGATTGTGAAACATTGTTCATAATATTGTGAAATATGGGTGGAGTAGTCTTTGTTTTACTCAAAGTGTAAATATAAGGAAAGCCAAAATTGCGCTTTATCAGCTCTGGCTAGCAATTATCTTTATATCTTATACTTGTAGTAAATAGTTCTATATTGGATCAGCGTATATTTACAATGACCTACAATATAATCTAGGCCATAACCTATAAACTATGGTCCAATACCCCTTTTCAATAAACCATAAAATTCTATAGTATTTTACTCATAAGTCATATTATTCCATAACTAAACAACCACTTCAAAATATAATAGCATGTATAGCGCTTATAGTAATATTTGTAACAACATCTTTGGGTTGAAAACAAACTATCAAATGGCAAAATTGGAAAGGGAGTTTTACGTCCTACTTTTCTGCGATGTAGTCATTTTCAATCTCAATTTCAGCTTCATGATTCAAATCAATAGGGATTGCACTACCATATCCAAGGGAAGGGCAACATTTGTGTAATTATTTACAAGCCTCTTATTGTATAATGCAACAGTTTTCTATCGATAAACCCCGATGTCGAATTTATTTTTAAAGCATACCACTCAAAAATTTTCATTACATCCATAATTTTAATTATAAAAGAAAAGGCCTCATATATTTCAAGAGAAACCTAAATCCCCAGCTCTTCCCTCTTATTGACCTCGTCGTCTGAAATGCTGATTTGACAGGCATACGTTTCCGTTTGTTATATACAATTGGATATTTAAATTCCACACCCCTATATTGAATGACAGTACACAGGTAATGCACCATCTTAAATATCTCTAGTGATGCACTTCAAATACAATTAAAATGTTAACTCAGTTGTCTGACAGTTTTTAGGGACGGTGAACTCATAAAATTGAAATATAAACTTATCTCTTTGTTTACTTATAAAATCTATTCGTGATATTTTCAAAGGCTGGTAGTTTTTAAACAATATTATAACCCACTACGCGTGTTGACGTTAATGAAAAATAGAAGATCTATGGGTAGGGAATGGGCAATCGGTGCGTATACCTTCCTCCCCCAGGCTTATATCATAGCGTTTTATATCTATTTACACACAGGTGGTTTAATTTCAAAGTTTTTGAAGTAGTGTAGGGTCATACTAAACTATGAGAAAATGTGTCAAGTTAGGATGTTTCATATTACAACAGAACATTTACTGGAGTAGTAAAATGCATTTTAAGTTAGTAAAAAAGTCTGAAATATCAATCAAATATTAATCTTAAACATTCAAAAGAGTTAAAATATCTGTGCAAAATATCAGCTTAAAAAACCAAATTATTTGAAATATCAATGAAATATCAGTCTAAAGACTTAATCGTTCTACAATATATATTAAAATTCAATCAGAAACATCAGTTTAAGTCCAAAAAATCCTAAAATATCACTTAAAGGTATCAAATTATTAAAATTTCTACTATAAGAGTCAAAAATCAACAAAAAGAGAAACAAATGAAATATCAGTCGACAGTGTCAAACCATCTGAAATATCAGTCTACAGTGTCAAACCATCTACAGTGTCAAACCATCTGAAATATCAGTCGACAGTGTCAAACCATCTGAAATATCAGTCTACATTGTCAAACCATCTACAGTGTCCAACCATCTGAAATATCAGTCGACAGTGTCAAACCATCTGAAATATCAGCCGACAGTGTCAAACCATCTGAAATATCAGCCGACAGTGTCAAACCATCAGAAATATCAGTCTAGAGCCAATTATATGTATTTCTGTGAAAAGTTTCTAGAAATTTAAAAACACTTACTGTACTTGTAGTATACATGGTAGGATTCCTGGCGTTTTTCAAAATACAAAAATTTTAAGAATACAATCTTATCAAAGGTTTTATAACACGGAACGAAATCACTTCGTACAAGATGCTAGATTTTCAACAAGTGTTAACAAGGTTGAGACTGCCGCATCTGTGACATATCACAATAAATAACAGTAAATCAGAATTCTGTAAAACACTACAGCAGTACACAAGAACGTGTTGCATAAAGTTTTTGGCCAATTCGTGGAAAGGTCACTCATTATAAAAGTTTACATTTCATTCGCTGAGTTTTATACAAAGAGAGGGTGAATGTTTAAGTTTGGGTGCAGCTGAGATAAAATAGAATCCAAAACAAACATAGACATATATGAGAAATTTTATAGGGCAGGCATATTATAAATCAAATATCCAATATAATCACACATTGTTTAAACTTAATCAGTTAAAGGGATTTTAAAGAGGTAATCTAATTTTTAAAAGTGTATCTTGGACACTGATAGCATCAATTTGCACCGTTCCAATTTTCAGACGTCTATGGTTCCTGAAATTCCACAACATTTTTTTTCGCTATATATGCTTTAAGATTAGTGACATCATCGAACACTTAGTTTTAGTGGAAATGCTGGAACCACAGATGTCTGATTGAAAATTGGAATGGTGCAAATCGATGCTATCAGTGATCCCGATACACGTACATTTTAGAAAACCTCTTTACTACCCCTTTAAAGAGACACACCGTATTCAATAGCGCATATTGTGCAGAAAAGTAGAAAGTAAAACTCTATTCATTTCATTTCATTTTAGAGAGAGAGAGACATAGTCTTTTGGGCCAAGGGAAGCATCCTGCACATCCTCTTTCGCCGACATACATACAATCAAAAGAGACACATAATCTAATGAATAGTTTTTGTCAAATTGTCGGAAAATTACTCAATTTGCATAAGGGCAATATATTACAAAGCATATCAATTATTTGGTCTACTCCATTGACTTCCACTAGTGAATTAAAAAAAAAATCAAGTATAAGTAAGTTGACTTGCAGAGATACATAATTGGTAGACCTAGTGTAAGAGTGAGATCAGATGACATGGTTATCGCCAACGAGAACACCAACCAGAGAAATTACTCTTATTCAATTAGATTAAAATACAGATCTAGATGGGTTTTTCTGTTCGTGTTTTATTTTTTTGCAGGTGATTACAATTTTCATAGATGATCTGTCGAGATTCTCCTTTGAGTTGTGTTCTGAGTAATGTTTGATCCAATAGCATCAATAGTTTACGCTAACCTATCAAGAACACTGTTTTAAGTACCAAGTGGCTCTTTCCCCCGGGTTTTTTTTTAACATGATTCTCGTCCACTTTCCGAGACTCCTCTGTAAATTTATAGATTTTCAGTCTAAAGTTAATGCTAATTCACTCATTTATATATTGTTGCTTGCTTAGTTTGATTAAAATTATATAGTTTGGTGCATTTTTAAAACAATTCTGGGAGTTGAAGGCCTCTTTGGCTTTGACTGGTTCAACCAGTCTCAGTGGTAGTTTAACAATGAAATTGCCAGAGTTCCTATTGAAGGTTGTTTTTTACTGAATATAGCATTTGATTAGTAGAATACTTAATAACCAAGAACAGGGGATTCATAACAATTTTTTCAGACCATGAATGGCAGGTGGAGTCACCGCAGAGAAAACAACCCGCATCGAATTCTTGAGAAAGTGTTACTTTAAATTAAGTAGATAGATATGAATGTTCAACACCTCTTCAATAACCTTCATCAACCGGTTATATTATATTGAGAACAGGATAAAATACTCATATTTGATAGGATATGATTGTATTAACGGTTGCCTCCTTATTAAACAAAGGCTGTTTTTGTAGCTATCAATTTCCCCCCGTGGGAGTTTGAATCAGCCTGATTACGTAATAGTTACAGAAACTTTCATTGAGACTTGTATGACAAACTAGATAAAGCGTATTCCCTTGGCTATAAAAGTTTTATCCTTTTTTTATCTACGTCCTTGTAACGGATATTCTTGAACACGCACCTTATTTTGTTTTTTACTTTGAATCAATGCAACTTAATTTCCAAGGTAGAATCAGGGTATGTTTTATTTTTAAATTGCTCTCACTCGTTCATCTTTATATTGAATGTATTTGCCCACTTCCTGTTCGCTCCTCATTCTATTAATCCGAAAACACACAAAAAATAATTCATATTTTCATCAAATGTAATCAACTGTCAACATTCGACATGGAATGCAACGATTTGATTAGATTGTACGTTAGCGAATACAACCGATCATAGTCCCCCGTTTACACGTGCACTCAAACAGTCTTTCTGTATCGCTGTATTCACCAACTTTGTGATAAAAAAAATTGCATTCAAGGAATTAGACGCAGTTCGTAATAACTTGACGACTTGTGAAGATGGTTAACAGTAAACGAGTATTTATATGTTATGATAGGACCCGTTAGAACTGAATAATATGAGTTTTGAAGTTTTTGACGATTCTTCATATAGGTTTGTTTACATCCAGAACTGTCCGCGTTGATCTAATTCTGATTATCTATTCTTTATGACGTATTCAAGCTCGACAGACTTTCTTGCCCCAATCACGATAATTACCAAGTAAATAATTTTATAAAATTACACTTAAATGCATTTTATCTTTGCAAAACTGTTGTGACCTGTTAACAATAATATAAATTCATACTTTTTGTTGCATGCAAGCCTCAAAACCGCTTCTAATGATTTCAAATGATACCTTTGAAAAGCTAAACGCCAGTCTAATTACAATTATACCAAACTTTCGTTCCTTTTTTTTATTTGCTTTTATTTTTAATATAGCCACTTTTGTTAGGGTCTAACGACAGCCCCTTTGAACCTTTTAATACAAGCACTGGAGAGCTAATAAAACAAAACGGAACGAAAGTTTGAGAGCAACCCAATCGGCGGTACAAACAAGTCATTGACCGTCAAAAGGGATTTATGACATGATAAAACTAAGTGGAGCGCAAAATATTTCCAAAGATTAGGTCTAAGTAAATATTTTCTGCACCTATTGAAAGAATTGACCCACATTTATTACTATATTTTTCGACCTTGGTAGAAAACAGGTTTCAATAATTCTCGCCAGGAGCCGGTACTAGTTTTATAGTAATAGCATGTAATAGTAAACCTACAATTATATACTGACAATGAAGCGATAAAAATATTTTTTGAAATTATAACGAGATTTTTTAAATATACGTTAAATTTTTTTAAAATTCAGTAATCCAGAACTGGCGACGAATTTCTATGAAACGTGCGCTTCTTTAACCTCAGTGATGTATAAAATATTTGTCGCCAACATCGTAACATAATAGCTATTGTATACTTATCACTTTTATCATTGTATATAAGTCAGTGAAAAACGTAACCAGAAATTTAGTATGAATATGTTTTAAGGCTATGATGGTTACTTTAGATATCTAGGCAAAGGAAAGGAGAATTCAGTTGGTTTTTTTTTTGGATTGAGTAGAATTCGATACAAAAAGGGAGTGGAAACTGTCAACCAAATATTCCGATATAAACACATGAAAGATTGTCCTCGGGATTGTATAATACGGAGCCCCTAAGGCGCAATTTTTCGTTTAAACGAATTACTCATTTCATTTAAACGAAATACTTATTTCGTTTTAACGAAATACATTTTTTATTTCGTTTATAAGTTATTCGATTAAAAGAAAAAAAGTATTTCGTTTAAACGAAATCGTTTAAACGAAATAATTATTTCGTTTAAATGAAATAATTATTTCGTTTAAAGGAAAAATCAATTAGTTTATACGAAATATATGACGTTATTTCGTTTAAACGAATTAATTATTTCGTTTAAACGAAATACTTATTTCTTTAAATCGAAATATTTTACAAAAATACGGAAAATTGCGCCTTAAGGACTCCGTAGTATCATTTGAATAAGGTGTGGTCTCTTGCCTATCAGTTTGTACATACAGTTTGAAGATGATTGTTGATTTAGTCAACAACCCATGAGATTTTATCAACTTTAATTCTCGATGTCTTTCTGGCATACGATAAATTTATCCAACATATTAAAACGCTTTAGCAAGAGATTCGGACTATCAAGTAAGCAGTGCACAGAAGTCAAATGATATCTAGATTTTACAAGATTATTCTTGCATTAACTTATCTCCAGGTTACGCAGTATAATAAGCCTACTCTTATTTTTTTACATATACATATAATATTTCATAAAGTTTTTACTCAATTCGTAACATCAAATACACCATTATTACAAAACAACGAATCAAATATTTATTTTACATGCAAATAGCGCAGGTCTACGAAGAGTTTTGAACTAAACAATAACGAAACTCAGCAACCGCAAATTGAGATGAAAGCGATCATTTTTCTTCTAACAAAACAGTTGTAAATTAAGTAAATAAAAGACACAGCAGAAATAGAACGTAGAAAAACTGTGGCACTTTCACAAAATTTATCAAAAAGCGCAAACGTACAATTTTTGTAATTCATGAAAGTATGTAAAACAAAGCACAAAAAGATAATGACATGTAGTGAAAAATATAAAAAAAAATATCTGCATAAACCTTTAAAAACATGGAAAAGGCCCATGAAATTTTGTAAAATATATTCGTTTTTGAAAACATGGATTTTGATTGCACCATTTAGAAAATGCATCAAGAATTCAAAAATATTTTGATGGCATTTCTAATTAATATTTATGATTTCTCGACATTCAGTGAGCTATCTTTGATAACAGGATAATAGAACCCTTACCTTCTAAGTTATATATATAACTGTTGATCAATTCTCCTTAGAGGCGTCCTTATAGAGGCGTCCCTATAGATTTATGACAGAGCTCTGAATTATCTAAAGTTATAAATAATATGTTATGGTATAAAAGGGTTTAACCAAATCAGGATCCTCAAACCTGTTTACAATTGTATGGGGTTGTAACTTGATAGGTAACAGTTCTGCATTAATACAT